TTCACTCCTAGGATGTTCTGGGAAAATGATAAATAACCGATTTTGCCAAGCATCAAACAGCTTTTGCAAATGATTGATGTGTTTAGAAGTGGTGACCTTTGAAATAGCATTTCAGATTAAATGGCATTCTGCCTTCAGCACCCTCTCATATCTACACATTCCCCGTGGCTGCATCGAAAACTGACCGTGCCTGGGTAAATATAGTGTAATTCCTCACGGTCTTTGTGTTGGAGCTTAGAGGTCGTTCAAAATCATCAGTCTACGGTATGACCAAGTCTGGAAAATTCTAAATCCATCGAATAGCTTTGTACAATGATCGGAGGCATCCCTAACCCATGAGAAACTGTTTTACAGTAACTTTGGTGGCAACAAGTTTTGAGTTTTTGACATTCCTCAAAAATCATAGCAACAGATCAAGGAAGGATAGATATAGATCCCATTTCAGGATGGCGAAGACAATAATTCTTCCGGAGTCGGTGAGCTGACGGTAAAACAGCGAATGTTATCCGCTGTAAAGCTTTGTTCTGAACTGCTTTTCGTAGGTCAATAGTGTATTATATAGCACGTATTTTAAGCGGTATAACAAATGTTGAAGTCCTTCTGAGTGAGTAGCATTTCACTAGTTGTTGTACTTAGCATTCAAAATAACGGCCAAAGAATAGCGGAACTAGTAAAGGGTTTAAACCAATGAACTCTTTGAAGCAATGCAGGCGCAGGATTTTTTTCTTATTGGTAGAAGAGGTGCTCAAAAAGTATCCTCATTGAAATTATTGCTGATTTCAACCTCCTGAAAAAGCTCGAGAACTCCCCGAAACTTTTCGTTCTGCAAAATTTCGCAATCGTACTGTATAGGTATTGTCAGCCTTTTGAAGGCGATTGGTCGTTGTAGGTAGCCCGCACAGGGCCAGGTTTACATTAATCTTATCCCAAGTGTGATATTTGAAATGTTCAAAATGATCATATGGGTTTTTGGGAAGCAGCTTTGCAATAAGATTCTTGTAAATTAGTATACCTATATGACTGAACGAAGATGATCGGAGAT